ATCAACATTTTTCCTAGAATAGTTTGTTTTCTTTGTACTTTAACTTAATTGAAAATATATGCTTCCTCCAATGTCCTTTACTCTGGGGGGGGGGGTAAAAAGCCCAGTTATTGATACTCTAGAATCATATACTGAGAGAGCTGAAAGAGATCTCTGTGAGTGAAGTATAGCATTCCATTTTACAAATAAGTACATGGAGCCTAGGGAGGGGACGTGACTCTTCCAAGATGACACAGACATTGGAGGTGGGACCTGTAACCCAGGCTCCTAGCCAGGGATCCTGCATCTTTACTAAGATGTTTTGTTCAGTAAATACCTACCAACTGATAGGTTGAGTGCCATTAGAAGCATTCGTTTAAAATCAGCTCAAAAAGTGCCTTGCCGGTACTGCTCACTGAAAAACATCACAAATGCTTTAGCTTCTAAAAAGATCTAGATTCTCTGAGAATTGAAGATGCCTTTGAATCACCAGTTACATTCTATTTTTATTAGCAGGCTGGCTCTAGGAGTTGACCTTTCAGGATCTCTGACCTCTAACACTTTTCCTTCAGTTTTGAAGTTCTTTTTTGAACCAAAGAGGTTTCCTGGAAGCAGCATGGCCAAGTGGGGAGACCATGAAGCCCAGGGATGAGACACCTGAATTCCAGTCTGGGCCCTTTAGAGTACTTATTATGTAGCCTCTAAAGAATGGCTTACATTTCCTGGCCCTCAACACTTCCACTAGGAAATTGAGGTTTATCATGTGACTGAATGGTTATGAGAACTATATCATATGAGACAGGAAAATGCTTAGGAAAGAATGAAATGTTTGTTCAACAATGACTTCTTCAATGTCTGCCATGACCCAGGCTCTCTGTCAGGCATAGGAATACCAACATGAATAAGATGGCGTACTTGCTCTTGGGGAACTCATGGTCCAGTGGAGAAGCAGACTCAACAATTATCACATCTTGTGCTGTAACCGCTTTGCTGGGGGAGCAACAGATGCTATGGGAGCAGAGGAAAAGCACTTACTCCTCATGTGCAGGGAGTGAAAATCCTCTACTTCCTGGAGGAGCTGATATTTCAGTTTAGACAATTTCAACAGTGCCATAGCTATCACCACTTCCACTGTCATCACTGGCTATCATTTACTCAATGTTTTTGCTTTTCTGAGGATTCTGCTGGTCCATTTACAGACATTAGTTCATGCATGCAATCCAGAAAGTCGGGGTTGTTATCCTCTTTACACATATGATAAAACAGAAGCATAGAGATGCATTTTTAAAAAAGAAATTTAAAACAGATCACACAGCTGGTGAGGTACACAGCTAGAACTTGAACATAACTATAAGTCCCAAAGTCTCTGGCCTCCATAGCATAACCTTGTTGTTCGGTGCAATTCCATGAGGCAAGGCTGAGGAAGATGGAGAAAGTGCCTGGGAGACACATTCAGCTGGAGAGGAAGAATTTTCTAATGGAAGATTCAAGAATGAGATAAGCTAACTGGAAAGGTAGTGAGTTTTAGGTCATAGAGGTGTCCTAGAGCAACGTGGTGACCTGCCCAAGACAGTGCTGAGGACATTCCTATTTGGGGGCAGAGGAGAGGGGGCAAAGAGGGGGCAAAGAGATACATAACTAAGCATCTCTTAAGGATACAATTCTTTATGATTAAGCCTGTTGTCAAGGGTAATGTACCTTTCTAAATATTTAGATGCTCAGTGAGGGCTGGAAGAGCTCTGTGATTACAGCACCCAAACCAGTGATTCCCTCTGTTTAGTGACCAGTCATTGGGAAGTGGACAATATAGGGGCCTGCCAGAATTTTCCATAAATTATTTCATAGGACCACCTGATTAGGGATACATTCAGCTAAAGTTAAAAAGGACTGACTCTAGCCACTGAAGCAAAAAGGGAATTTATACGAAGGGGCTTGCAGAATCACACAAACACAGGTAGCTAGAATGGAAAACAAGAGCAATTAACTGAGCAGCTCTGAAGGGCCAGAACACCCTGCCTGTGTTTCCACAGTAGCACTGCTGCATAGCAGTCCCTGCTGCCTCGTGTCATCCAGCCCCAAGTTTATGTCTTGGGCAGGAGTGGCTGGTGCCTGAGCCACTGCTATAGGGTTTCCTATTGCTGCCCTTGCTGCCAGGGAACAAAGAGGTAGAATCTGGCTCATCTGGCTTCTGTGGAGGGAGATAGGACATAGTCATGGCCTCATCTTGTAATGATGGAGGAGCAAACTTACCCCACCCAACCCCCATCTAGTAACAGGGTTAGATGCTGGGCATTCCCCAAAGGACATGAACAAATGCCTACTGCGCTTGGGAGGGAACAGAGCATGGATTTGAACTCAGATCTCCCTAATTCCCAGACTGAAAGAAGAGATAAGAGGTCATCCGTAACCACTGCTGCCCACTCCAGCCCCCTATGGACTGTGAAACTATTAGTCCATGTCATTCACATAGGACAGAGCATAAAATAATAATAAAGTACAATAAAAACAACAATACAGCATTTCTGAGTTACCATTATGTACCAAAACCTGTGCATTATCTCATTCAATACTCACAATATTATCCTGCTTTATAAATGGATGTAAACCTGTAAGCATATCTTCTCCCTCCTTGCTAGATTATCCATTTCTTGAGGCCAGAGAACATCTCTTATCAATCACTCAATGTCAGCAACACTACTATTGGTGTGTAGAAGGTTCTTAATAAAACGGTGATGAATTGCTATATTTAACTCTTGCCTCATCCATGTTCCCAAAACCAGTCTCTCCTCTTTAATTTACTTATACATTCTCAACAGAGAGCTTGCTTAAACTGTTTGTTCCTTAAAATAGCATAGACGTTAAAGCTGGACAGTCCTGGGTTTGAAGCCTGCTCCACCACAGGCTGGCCAAATTACCCTGAGCAGGTTTCAGATGAGTGTGGCTGTGAGGCTCTCTATGTCTGTCCTTAATCACTTTCATGAGTAGCAATACTTCAGATAAGAATATTTAAGAACTGCATGAATATGTCTGTAGATCAAGGTACTAGTCACAGCATTAAATGTTTCCTTTCTGAAAGACAACTTAATGTAGTCAGAGGAGAGCAGAGTAAGGAGAGCAATTGGTAAGATTTTGGACTCTGAGAATCAGGTTGACGTGAGCTCAAATTCTAACTCCATTACATAGGAGCTCGGTGACCTTAAAGAAAGTTACTTACATTTTCTAAGCCTTTCTCTTCTCCTCTGTAAAATGGTAATACAAGGCTTGTATGGGATAAAAGCAAAAATGAAATGAAATCATTCATGTAAAGGCACATAGTAAGCACTTCTTAGATGTTAGCTACTGCTGCACTTACCGCTATTAGCTCAGAAAGGAAAGATGGCAGGAACTGCATCAAAAGGCTAACAGTAGTTATATCTGAGTGATAGGAAGGTGACATTACTTTTTTTCTTTCTTGCTTTCTATATTAAGGACCATTTTTCATTTTTAATAGTAATTTTACAGTCAGTCAATCCCCTTACAAAGCAATTCTACTTCTGGAAACTGTTAGAAAAAAATCTGAAATGTGGAGAAAACTTTAGGGATTAGAGTATTCATCAGTGCATTTTGAAAACAGTGCAGCAGCAAAAACAAAATAAATGTGCCACAGTGGGGAAATGGCTACATGAATTACGGGGGTTTATATAATGGGATAATGTCATATTATAATGCTATTACAATGTGAGTTACAAACACTTTATTAACAAAGAAAAATGCTCATGTTGTAATGGCAAATGGAAATAGGAACGCTTTGCAAGTTCAAGGACAGGAGGTAGCTACCTGGCCTAGAAGGTGAGCATCAGTGATCCCCTCTGTTTAGAGCACAGAGAATGGTTAGAATCTAGGCATCACTGCTCTTATGAAAATCCTGGAACAGAGGGGACATTTCTTTGTGTGCTCCTATCCACTGAGGATGTGGGGTAGGGAGAGTGCAGTTCATGCTGAAAGAGCCATGTGGTCCATTTGTAGAAGCTCCTTCTCTACTTGTAGCTGGGAAACTTAGGCTTTGAGAGAGCAAGAGACTCGCCCAGGGTCACGTAGTACACCATCAGCACAGCAGGGGACCTCAACCCAGTGATATCTCTCTCCTCTGCATACCATGGAGCATTAAGGATGGACTTGCCAGAGAGGCTAGGCAGGACTCTAGCAAAAACCTGAATGTGGAGCAGAAGGATGTTCCCAGAAGTTTCCACGTTATTCTCCTCTGGTTCTCACTGAGATAAAAGTAGCATAGTGATAAGAAATGGGGTTCTCCCAGTCCCTCCAGGGGCATTGAGGAAAGAGGCATTTGAAAAGAGAAGGCTTTTGCCCTGGAGGTGTTCATATTAGGTCCTCAAATCCGCACATGCAACTGGCTGTCTGGGCTCAGCAAAAGAAGGGAAAGAACATAAACCTATGTATCTGGAGCACTTGAATCCAAGTCCAAGTCTAAAATTTCTGGAACTCTTCAGTCCTTTGCTGTACACTGTCATGGAAGGTGAGGTGGGAGGAGGCAAGGAGAAAACAAGAAGACCAGGTTAAAGAAAGACCTTGCACGCTCAAGATAATACCAGAGGAAGTGGTAAAAAGGTGTTGGGTTATGGTGTATTTTGAAGAGAGACAATGGATTAGCTATAGGTGTGAGCAAAGAGGCATAATGAGAACACCAGTGGTTTTGGCCTGAGCATTTTTCTCAGCTGCAGTGTAGAGAATACGTGCATGTGTTTATGGGTGCCGACATGAGGATACACCACAGAAATATTTTCGAATCTCTCTATGACTCAGTTTCTTATTCTGTAAAGTAGGAATTGCAATAGTAGTGACCTCATAGAGTTGTTGATGGCACTGAATGAATTAACTCGTATAAAGTACTTAGAACTGTCTCTGGAAAATGATAAATGCGAGGTAAGTGACATAGTCATTGCTCCTACTCCTAAGCATATTTTGACAGGTGAGAAGCTCAGCTTGTCCTGCCTATATTGACTCTTACTTTGGGTACTGCCTAGGTGTTCTCTGATGGGGTTTGATCTGAACCGTCACTGGCTGGATCCCTCTCCATGGGCCCACCCTACCCTGCATGGGGTGAAACAACTCATCGTCCAGATGTACAATGACCCAGTAAGTACCTGAATGCCCTCCACAGTTGCTGATCTGTGGCTTGAACTGGGAAAGGGAAGCATTATATTGGGAAAGTCCACTAGAAGCCACAAATTAGGAATACACAGCTAAACCCAGGAGGTACTAGGCCTGCTCTTGTCTGAATCCAACAGAACCAAGGACCTTCTCCCAATGTCTTTTCCTGCGACTGCTCACAAATAGTGGGTTCAGTTGTGGAGGTCTCATGGGATAAAGAAATATATTAGGCCGGGCGCGGTGGCTCAAGCCTGTAATCCCAGCACTTTGGGAGGCCGAGGCGGGTGGATCACGAGGTCAAGAGATCGAGACCATCCTGGTCAACACAGTGAAACCCCGTCTCTACTAAAAATACAAAAAATTAGCTGGGCATGGTGGCACGTGCCTGTAATCCCAGCTACTCAGGAGGCTGAGGCAGGAGAATTGCCTGAACCCAGGAGGCGGAGGTTGCAGTGAGCCGAGATCGCGCCATTGCACTCCAGCCTGGGTAACGAGAGCAAAACTCTGTCTCAAAAAAAAAAAAGAAATATATTAGAGTGTTTCCATATTTGTCAAGGATCTTTGGTTACAAGCTAAAGAAATACAACTTGAATTAGTATAAGCAAAATAGAGAATTTATTAGAGGAGTACCAAGGGCATGTCATGTAATTGAAGAATGTAAACTGGCTTCTTCTACATGTAGGGAACATGACTGCCAAGTTCTCAACACTACAGTAACTTACTGTCATTTTCCAGTTCCAGTTCCAAAAGGATTATGATTGACCTAGTTTGGAGGATATGCCCATTTCTGGCCAAGTCAATTCTGGCTCAGGACCCAAGAATATGCAAGGACAAGGCAGCCTTTCTGGAACCACGTGGTTGGAGTTGGAGGGTGGGCTGGTACCTGTTTCCAGAAAAGAGGGCCTACCATTTCAGAAGAAAGAAGGGGACATAGGCAGACAGAACAATGGGTGTCCACACCAGGTTTGCTCCCAGGGGCAAGTTCTTGTTTATAAGAAATAGGAGAAGACAGTGAGGTTTCATGGCTTAGAGAAATGAAGCAAACCACAGTATTCTGTCTCTGCAGAGCTACTGCAGAACAGGCAGGACAGACCTTTTTTTCGGGTGGGGGACATGGGAAGAGGTAGAGGAACAGACCTTTATAACAACTATAGCTGCCTGAGAACGGAGTATGTGTGTGTGTGAGCTGTGAGCTCTGCCTTACTAAAAGTGTTCAACTTTTAGCCCAAAAGGGTGCACAGAGGAGACTCAATTGTTTGGAAGACATTCTAGTGAAATTCCATTTGAATCCCTTCCAACTTCAATGACTGATTTTATGATCCATAACTGCTGTCAGATGAGAGGTGGTGACTGCTAAGACAGCAAAGGTCACACAGCTGGGGTACTTCAGGGATGTACCAATGTAACCCATTCTATTTACCCTCATTGAAGATGCCAGTGAAAATTTCCTGAATTAAAGAGCAACATGGGTATTGGTCAGATAGAAAAGTGTGCTTAAAAACAAATCCATATATTAGAGCAGGGGTTAATGAAAAAGTCAGTCCTGAGCTGCAATGTAGTTTTCTGGCTATGAAACTCAACTGTTATCTGGATCATCTTATGTACATTTTGCTTTCCTAGTCCTTTAGCAATATACCTTGTGTGTCAGGGCTTGCATAAACATAGCTTTAGGATATTTGTTTCTTTCTCCAGCTCATCTCTCTTTGTCTGTAAAAGAAGATGTGAACTGTGCTCACCAAATCCCTATGCAGAGATAGAATGATTGTGGTTTGCTGTCTTTCTGTAAGCTTTGGAACCCCGCTGTCTTCTCCTATTTCTTACAGACATGAACTTGCCCCTGACCTCTCAATGTCATCCTGATCATCTTTCCTTGCAGACAGAAGCTGCCTTTGATTTTCTCAGGAAGTATCGGTAGTCTGCTGAGTTCTGCCCTCCCAGGCTTCTGTGTTGACTGCACTTTCCCTGATAGAATGGCAATGTCTTCTTCCACGACTTCCTTCTAAAAGAGAACAAGCTCCTACACTTTTTTTTTTTCTGATTTGGCTGATAATAGATATTCAATAACTGCATGTTGAGTTGAATTGGCTTGAACACAGAAAATCCTATTATGCTAAATGCAATATGGTTTATAGATACAAAACAGTTATTCCCAGGTAGGACGATGAGGCACAGTAAAAAGCAAACTAAACAAACCAAAAAATGACACTGGACCAGAACGAGTGACAGAATGGAAGCCATTGAACAAAGTGGTATTTTAGATAAATTCCCAAAGACACAAATAGGAGTTTGGGGGCAGCATGGGGGAGGAGCACAGGAACACAAGGGAAGTAGGTTATGTTTGCTAAAGAGGAAAAGGCTTCAGATGCCATTGTGATATTAATTATTGATATACTCACAAACAACTGGGTGCTCATTCATGCTGCAAAACACAGATCCAGCAAGCCTGAATTACAGAGATTTGGTCCATGAATACATTGATCATCAGCTGGTTAGATCTTAGTAAGTACACCTTGGGTGCTGAGCTGGTTGTATAAGTCATTTTCTTACCTAAAGGTTACTCTTTTATGCCTCAAGCAAGGGCGTGGAGCACTAATATAGGAGTCAAGCTGGCCTGGAGTAGGGTCCCAGCTCCCTCAGTTCCTTCCTGTCTTCCCCACTCTCTCTCCTCACTCAATCTTTTACTCCACTTTTTCCTTTCTTCTTTACACAAATATTTATTTATATAAGGGCTTTCTATGTGCAGTGAGGTTTCTAGTAGTGAAAAAAAAAACACCTTAACCCTTGAAATATAGTGGGAAAATAGACTTTAAATAAGTAAATACTGATAAATGCATATTTATAAGATATGTCAGGGGTTACCAAGAACAAAAGCACAAAGTATGACTTCTAGGTAGAATGGTCATAAGTCTTGGCTTTCCTGGGGCAGTTCTGGTTTATACCTATTGTCCTGGAGTATCTTTTAACAATGCCCTCTTTCACTCTCAAAATTGTTCTTGTTTGGATGATAAATTATATACGCTCTCTAGTTAAAAATTATGTGAGGTTGGCCAGGCACGGTGGCTCACGCCTGTAATCCCAGCTCTTTGGGAGGCAGAAGCAGGTGGGTCACCTGAAGTCAGGAGTTTCAGACCACCCTGGTCAACATGGCAAAGCCCTGTCTCTACTAAACATACAAAAAAATTAGCCAGGTGTGGTGGCACATGCCTGTAATCCCAGCTACTCGGGAGGCTGAGGCAGGAGAATTGCCTGAACCCGGGGGATAGAGGTTACAGTGACCCAAGATTGCACCACTGCACTCCAGCCTGGGTGAGAGAGCAAGACTCCATCTCAAAAAAAAAAAAAAAAGAAAAAAGATGTGAAAGTACCTAGCACAGTACTGGTGTGTAGCAGATTCTCAACAACCATTACCTGGATCTGATTCAAATTCACATTTGACTTCAGACATCTTTGTGCCCAGTTGCAAACACTGCAGTGCTTGGAGGCATCTACCCTCATAGCTTAAAGCGCATTTCTGCTCCTGACCTTCACTGTCATATACATAATCATAATCACTCAATCCTGAACTATCTGAACTGCCAGGACAACTTCTGGACTTGTTTCTAAATGCACAGCCTTACTTCTCCTGTCCAGGTGGCCTTCTGCCCACAGAATCCACCAGCAGAAAATCAGCCAGACCCTCCAACATCAACTGTCATTCCTTCAGGCCCTGTGTTGGGTGCCGAGGAGTTCACAGCCTGGTGAAGACAGACATTTACAGTCAGTTATTCTAGGTGCATTTATAGAGTGAAGCACAGGGGTTGTGGGAGCCCAACTCAGGAGGCAACACCTGAGCTGATAAACATGAGGGATGCTCAGGTCAAGGAGAACTTCCCAGGCAGAGGAAACAGCATGTGCACCTACCTTGAAAGGGTGGCTAACTCAGGAGACTGGAAGTCATTCAGTGTGGCTGATAGCAGGGGCAGACAGAAGAGGCAGTTACAATACAGGGAGCAATCTGGACTTTATTTTCATGGGAATAGGGAGCCACTGAGGATTTTAAGCATGGAATTGACAAATCAGGCTTGCATTTCAGAAAGATATCTCTGGTGCCTATTAGAAAAATAGATTTGGAAGGTGCCAAAGTAGAGGCTGTGAGACCATTAGAACTTGCTGCTGTGAAGTTGAAAGGGAAGAAGAGGAGTCTGGAGGTAATAAGGAGCCAGACCTAAGGGACTTGGTGACTGCGACTGATGGGAGAGGAAGGAGTCTTGCATAATTCCTAGTTATGACGGGCAGCAGAGTAGTGTGACACTTTTCCTGAGATGGGAACGCAGGAGAAACAGTCAGTGTGGGGCCAAGTGATGCATCCATCTTTAGAGGTGTTCAGTTTGCAGTAAGCTGAAGTGATATTTCTGGCCTGCCCTGGAAGGCTTCTAGAGTGAGCCCTTCTGTGTGCTTCTAACCTGGCAACAGGAGCCTGCTGTCCTTGTACTAGTGATGACATTGACTTCAAAGGCTGCTTTCCTAGCTCTGTGCTCACTATATTCTTACCCCTCTTGGGGACATTGGGTATTAAATGATAATCTTGAAAACAAAGTGTTTAACCAAGAGGACTACCCTGGATCTGAGATATAAAGTGTTTCATGTTCCACTCCCATGAGAGCTCCCTGTGGACACTGTGGCTTGGCCCCTGTTTACCAGTTGTGATTGATTGAACCCCCCCCAGGGAAAGGGTCTGGTTAATCCATCTCAGGGTCCCTGGTGCCCAGCAGGGACCTGGCTGTAAGCAGGTGCTCAGGATAAATGTTGAGCAAATGTTGAGCAAACCTAGAGTTTCTGTGACTTGGTTTTAGAAGACTTTCCTGATAAAAGGAACAACTGAACCACAGACCCGTCCCCAATCTTCTTTCTCTCTCAGAGTGTCCCCTGATCCCACTGCCACCATCACTGTGCCCTCCTTTAATGGAGGCTCTGATCTGCAACCTGCTGAGATTGTCCCGAACTCC